ATAAAGATATAAATCATGTTGTATATTTAAGTTATGTTTATGTTTTTCTATAGTATTATTCAATTATAACATATTTTGAGTTGTGTTTAACACATCATTTGATAACATATACATGTATGTATACATGTATATTATGCACACACATATACACATGTGTGTATATGTAAATATACACACACACATACACACAGCACACACAACACACCACAAAGATCTACACCAAAGTTCTAACAGAGATGGTATTTGGATGGTGGGATTATGGGTCACTTTTATTTTTTTAATTTATTTTTAACAATAAGTGTGCATTACTTACGCAAAATGATAAATATTTAAAATTTCATCATTTATTTGCCACAATTTTAATTTTAAATCCATACCCACAGGATTGTAAATATTACATCACAATATATGGGTGAAAGTCTTCTTTATTTCGTATTTTATTTCAAAATATATGTGAAATTCTTATTAACTCGATTTTTCTTTAAAGGGTGAGGTCGGCCAGCAAGGTCCTCCTGGACCCACCCTACTGATTCAGCCCCCTGATTTTTCTCTCTATAAAGGAGAAAAGGTAATTCCCAATCCTCACGTTCCTTTGGTAAAGTAGTAATGGTTAACATCGCCTGAACACATACGTGTGCCACTCGAGTACTGAGCCACACCCCATGCATCATTGCATTAATCCCAAAGCAACCTTAACAGGTTGGTATTCTAAGGAACTCCATTGTACGGAGTTGAAAAATGAGGCTTGAAAAGGTTGCAGTGTTCTCAAGTTCACCCAGCTGCTGAGTTGCAGACCTAGCTTGGGCTGCTACATTGTGACATGTCCTTCAGGAATCGTGCCCCACTAATATTATCTTTGATATGTGGACTGAAAACACCACTGGAGGCCCAGCTGTCCTTTAGATGTTCCATATGGATGTGATGTCTTAATAATAGAAATGGTAATCGATGCATAGAATTCAGCACGTGATAGACTCTTGGCGAAGACTGATTCCTCTGTCAGCCTCCAGCTCTGATGTTACTGGTGCC